GAAAGAGCTGGGTTGAAAGCATGCTAACATTGCAGAAATCCCCTTGTATTCAATATTGGGCTTTTTATCTGTTTTGGGAAACAGTTCCTGAGGCAAACTGGCTTTGTGGTGTTAGACGGTGTTGTGGCCCTAAAGAAACATTCATTAAAATTTTGTGGGGTGATTGTGTTTGTGCGTATAGTGATTTTACTGATTTTTGTTTTTCAAGTTAGATTCTTAATAGTTGGAAGTCTGTATAGAACAGCTGTCAAGTAAACAAGACAGACAGGAAACAAGGGACATCCTGACAATATTCGCAGGCATATACGCAGAAGTGGCGCATACCGTACATTTTGAAATCTACCTGGTCTAGTAGGCTTCCAAACATGAAGGGATAGGTATGCAGGGGAATCTCCACTTCATATAAACAGCAGCACCAAATACTGTTTTGTTAAACTCAAGAGCATATGCTGAAATTTTATCTTGTGTCTCTTTCAAAAGCACTTACAGTTTTAAGATTATTTCATTTCACAGCTTTGGAGAAAGCAAGGAATAAAGGGGGAGGGAATTAAAGGTTCACATGTGAACCAGCATCTAGTAGCTAATGACTGACATGAACTGTGCTACCAAGGAGAAAATAAGACTTTCATTTGTGCATTGTGAAGGGGATAAGAGATTTGTGATTTTTGTGGTGATGGACCAGGATCCTGGTTCCCAGACCTGTATTGCCTGCAGCAGGTGTATTTGTTACATGCCAATCAGTTCATCTAAAGCCATAATTCTTCTTGGTTTGAAAGATGGTGCCATGCTGACTATTACCTAATACTTTTCCTTGACCCTTTGGATACCACCTCCAAGTAAGGCAGGTTTCTGAAAGAGCAAGCAAGTGGAGTTACACAATGCATGGACTTAGTTCAAGGATTTTATAACAAAGAGTGAATGCTGGCCATTGCTAAACAGACTAGTGTAGCTCACTTCAAGGTATAGAGTGCTAATCTCTGCCTCGTTCAATTGATATAAATGTAAACCAGTAGAATCAGGCACTTTGCAGATGCTGTTTTTAAACTGAAAATATTAAGTAGTTAACATTCATGCGCATTCAGTTTTTACTGTGCTCTAATGCATTAAAAATACTAACCCATTTAAAGAAGGGAGGCACTTTCAGATCATATTTTTGAAAAAGGGAAAAATAATTATTTCATTGTGCTTTACATTCCCACCAAAGTGATGACACACTCCATCCCTTGATTCTGCAGTGATGTCACTGCTGTTTTCTTTTTAAAACGGTCTGTGCAATAAGATGAATACAAGGATCGTTGCCCCACATTTGCTTTCTGCTGGACATCATGTACTCGGAGTAGCGTTTCAGCAGGCTTCAAAGATTAGAAGAAGGAAATCAAGCTAATAAAATGTACATTGTTTAAGATGTGTGGAATGCCCTACTGTTATTGCAAATGGCATGACGACAAAAATTACAGATGGAAGAGCCCTACCAGATTATACTGCTGGTCTTTTTGCCTCCTCCAGAAAAATCCCATTTCCATTTCCCAAAAATCCATTCTCTTTTGGGAGGATGAACAAGCTTTGAATAGGCTTTTGCATGCCATGCATTGTACAACACCTGCGTGGATATTTTATGGAGATCTCCCCAAACCAAATCCATTAGGTTAACGTATGTTAGATTACAATCTTTCCATTCCATTTTAAGTTCTGCAGCATTTAGCATATGACCTGAAGTTACCTTAACTGGAACATTGTTATGGTGATTTATGGGATTCCAGATTAAAATGTCTGTTTAATACTGACAGATGTGAAGGACCTAATTGCCTTCACGCTACATTGAAAATGGGCTTCTGAAGTGAACAAAGCTATTAAAAACAAAAGCATTTACTGTCTTCATGAACTTAGTGCACCATAAAGGGATTAGTCACTGTTGTGGAGATCTGCACTTGGGTATCTGATGCTTGAGACTGACAGCATTAGGTTTCAAACTCTAAAATATCCTGAGTGTAAACAGCCATCCTAAGCTTCAGAATTGCAAGCAAGGTCTGGGCAGAAGTGAGACTTCGCCTTTTGTTCATTCTGTTCCGTCACCGTTTTCAGTTAACCATTTAACTGCTGGGTTCAGCCTCAAAACCTTGTTTGTCAGACAAAGCACACCTCTGGATACCTCAGCTCTCAAATGCTAGAATCCCTTTGGATCAGTGTTTCAAAGCAGCATCACTGTATTTGTCCACGGCACAGAAGCTGCCATGAAAGCCAGAAAAGAAAGATTTTTTTAAATTACATAATAGTACAGTCAGTGGTTTTCAACTTTAGACTCAAGGCGCCTGTCAAAAAATGCCAGATCTTAGCTTTCATTCTTTTTTTTTTTCTTTTTAACTATGGAAAAATAATAGAGTAATTCTTCTGTTAAAAAAACTCTGAAAGACCACAACAGGTCAGAATGTTTTTGACATGATGCATTCATATTTGAAATAACTGGGTTTATCTTGTGAATTGTGTAAGTGTTTGCACACTAACCAGGGCTAATATTACACAGCACCCTGGCAACATCCTTAAAAGGATCTCATGGCACCCTGCTTGAGAATCACTGCACTAGGAGGCAGGAACATGACACAATATGATGCTTATTGGGGTGATCTTATTGTTAAAGAAACTTTGGGAGCAGAATGACTAAAGAGTGGGTATAAAGTAGTGGAGTTAAAGGACATAGTGGTTATAACCACTTGCAGGTGGCTTACACAAGAATTTCCATCAGTACTGTCTCGGACGGCCAGAGCCGACTCGAGGTGATTTAGTAATTACTCGTTCATTGGGTGGGCTGGTGAATAGAGAGGTGGACAAGGCTTAATGGTTGCAAAACTTTACTTACGCCGCTTGTAGCTGCAACGCTGACGGTCCGGTCGTCTGAACAACTATGTTAGTTGTTCCAGCTGGCAGGGCTCAGGCTAGCTCATCTGTCCACAAATCAAGTCGGCGGGGCAAGGGTATGTCGGGGATTGTGCTCGGCTATGGGGAGAAGAATTGATAGGTGATCAGTCTATTGATCAGCTCAGCTGCAAGTCAGATCTCTTTAGAGGCACTCTGCAGCGTGCTCAAAGTTCTCCGACTTGGGCGGAAGTCGCACGAAATTTTAAATGGCTAGCAAGCCAATTACTAGCCGCCACGTAGGAATAATTTAGAACTAGCCAATAGTGGGACACAAATTTGCATTCGAATGGCAGGAACTCTCTTGCACCGGGGTTTTTTGCTGCAACAGAAAACCTTTTACTCTGCAAGAGGCTCTCATGTGGCAGGAAAATTCCATCGTGCCGAGGCACCAAAATCACTGGGTTGTGACATGCCCCCTTGCCGACGGCACAACTGGAATTTTAGACACATGAGTACATCATACGGCATCTTTGTTTCAGGATTTACTGACCTGGCAAAGCTTTAACAACCAACATATATATACAAACAATTTTATAGACCGGTCTTTTTAACAAACTATAAAATATAATAACTTGAACATATAACAACAACTATTGATCATCGTCTGATCGGAGAACATCTGCTTGGGACTCCCCTCGGTTATTAGTCAGTCCGTCTTCTCCTATAACAGACAATGTCAATTAAAATACTTAGTGAAAATGAGAGAGAACAGTGTCATAGCAAGTCCTGAGTGGATGGACATTCGCTGTCTC